AGATGAGTGCTTTAAAAATCTCTGCCCTCTACCCCATAGATGTTCAGGCAGGACACTGCCTTCTCTTCACCAACTCTCCTGCTTACCCTCCACTGTGGTAATTAAGGTTATGTGTCAACTTGGCTGGTCCTAGTTTTGAATGGCTAGACAGCTGGAGGTACTTACTCTGCATGATGAGACTGGTAATCAACTCCATGGTGGAATCTACTATGAGCAGCTGAGTAGCTGCCTTAGGGATGTGGTCTGTTTCTGGTATGTAAGAAGCAGTTTTGAGAAAGGTCTTGAGCTTTTTTGGCACATTTGGACCCTACATATAGCAGAGTCTTCATTGAGTAGCCTGCCATGTTGCCTGCCATTCTTGGGACTGTTGATGGACTTGAACTAGTAGCCTGCCATGTTCCTTGATAGTCTTGGGACTGTGCCATTTTTCTTGTTGATCTTGGGTTTGTCAGCCTCAGCAGGCAGCAGGTCCCTGAATGGGGAGATCCCTCTAGCTCCAGTGGGCCAGGAGCAAGAGCTGAAGCCCAAGTTTGAGGGGCCTTTACCCAGTCCCTAGAGCTAGCATTTTGAACTGGGACTTCTAGCCTTCTGAACTGTAAGAGAATAAATCCCTGTTGGTTAAAAACATTCACCTGTGGTATTTCTGTTAGCATGGCACTAGAGCACCAAAACACGTATCCTATGGTTGATGTGTATGTATTGGGGGAAAAGAGGGAGAGACACCCAAAATAATATTGTTTGGGAAATTCACAGATTTTAGGTATATGATTTTCAGTATTTAGTTGCATTTTTCTTATGCAAAACATTTATTTGTTTCACTGTAGAGGCTTGTTTCAGTTTGACTGTCTTTAACTGTTATTGAGACTGTACTTATTTTGGTATGTGTTTGCCTTTTGTATTTTCTGTGATTCCCTGTTCTATCCTAAGACCCACTTTTCTTTTGGACTATGTTTTTAAATTGATTTATAGGAGCTTTTTTGTGGATGATAAATTTAAGCAAAGTCCTAGTATAGAATAGAGGTTTAGAGTTTAGGAGAGTTTACATTGGCTTCAATTTCCTCAGCCATAAAATGGGTACTTCTATCTCAAAGGGTTGCTGTAATGATTAAAAGTATGATGGTATATTTTTTTTCTTCTTTAGCTTATTATTGCATTGAATTATATCACTAGATTTCCAGATGTTAAACCATTTTTGTATTCTTAAGAAAACTCCTCTTGGTCAGTGGTTCCTTACTCTTTTAATGCTTCAGTGGATTCCATTTGGACATTTTTAGGGCTTTTGATATACATTAAGGAGCTCTGGTGGTACAGTAGTTAAGGTTTTTGGCTGCTAACCAAAAGGACAGTGGTATGAACCCACCAGTTGCTCTGCAGAAGAAAGATGAAGTATGCTGCTTCTGTAAAGATTTATAGTCTTGGAAACCCAATGAGGGTTGCTATGAGTCAGAATCAACTCAACGGCAGTGAGTTTGGTTTGGTTTTTTTGGTTGATGTACATTAGCCTCTAGAAAACCTGTTCAGTTTATATCCCCATCAATAATGGATATGAGTGCCTGTTTCTCAATTATTCCAAACCTAAACCAAACTCACTGCCATAGGGTCACTTCCAACTCATAGGGACTCCTCCTTGGGTTTCTGAAGTGGTATGTCTACAGAAGCAGATTGCCCAGTCTTCCTTCCGAGGAGTGGCTGGTGGGTTTGAATGACCAGCCTTATGGTTAGCAGTCAAATGCCTTAGGCACTATGCCACCAGAGCTCCTTTCTCAGTTATTAGTTTCTTTTAATCTTTGTCACTTTGATAGGCGAGAATGTATATACCTGGCGATTTTCTAGCAATGTCTCCAGCATATCTTTGGCTGCTTCCCGTATGTGCCAGGCTCTTTCTGTTTCTTATCAAAACCATCTAACATATAGTTAATTCTACCCTCACCTTGTCATAATTTTAAATTTTTATGCTCCAATTCCCCAAACTTTTGTGCAACTCCTTGGAACTGCTTAACTTTCATATATATTCTTTTGTTCCTATAGACCCTCAGCGTCTTTAGCTTTGTTCCCCAGGAGGCTTACTGCTCATTTCCCAGAGAGGCCCTTGTGTAGTGACAGCTGAGATAGTCTCCAGGACAGATTTCTTTTGTTGTTGTTATTGATATGAAGTTCACATCGATCTCTATACTACCCGAAATTTGAACTATCCCCATGGAATCATGCCATTTGAATTACTAAAGATTTTACTCATTATCAGGGCAGCTTCTCTCATCCCTTCACCATGTATCTTCCCCTGAATGGGTCTCCCCATTGTCTGCTTACCCTTACAGAAGCTGTTCCATTTTTCTCATCATCTTTCTTTTTCTTAGACTCTTCTTCACCTCTTAGTGCTTCCTAGAGTTAACAAATTAAACGAGTCATCTGAGTTTTCTATCTTTCCTCATTTCCTTCTCACAATTTATCCTATTTGTCTTCTTTCTCCTTTCTGTGCTATTTCTTTTTTAAAAAAGAAAAAAAAAAAAAAAAAAGCTTTTCACATACTGGCTCTATTCCCAGGTTAAATCCTAGACCTGATACTTAACTATCTGTGTGACTTTGAGCAAGTTACTAATCTTTCTGTACCCCAGGAGAAATAATACTGACTCACTGTGTTATTGTGGGGATTAAAGGAGGTGATCATGTACAGTGCTTAGCACAGTGCCTTGCAAATACTAACCATTCAGTGAATGACAGTTAATTCAGAGATTCTGCAAGTAGCTGACCACTTGACGTTCTTGACTAAAGGAAGCCATAGAGTGGAGTGAGGGAGGCTTTTTCACACTTGCTACTGGGTTCTTTCTTACGGTTCTGCCGGGCTTGTGCCTTTGTTGAATTCCATCTCTTTCTCTGCCCCTTCTTGATCTGCCAGCTGTACCTTTGCATCATCTCCATTAGCAGTTCATTCTCTTCCTGAAGCTATCTTTTCTCTCTTAGTGTACTGCTCATTCAGAGACAAAGTTCATTTCAATGCATTCATCTGTTCATTCAACATGTAGGAATTGGGACCACAATTTGTCAAAGAAACCCTGATGTGAGAGCTCTGTGAGATACAAAGATGATTGTAACGTGAATCCTGCCTTCAAGCTCCCTGTGTAGTCTCCAGGGAGACAAGTTATATATTTAAAGAAGAAGAAGAAAAGTAATACAGTGTACAAAGGGATGTGTCATAAAAGACAAATGTGTCAAATGTTTTGGGAGTTCAAAGAAGGGATAGAGTTCTTTCTACTCAGGAAAGAAGGGTTTGTTTCATGGATGAGCTAACATTTGAGATGGTCCTAAAAGAGCTGGTTTTGGATCCTGCAAAGAAAGGGAAAGAACTTAAAGACTTAAGTGGAATCAAAGGCACTGTATCATTTAGGATCAATTCTGTGACAACAAAAATTCTGCCGTACGCAAAAAAGAAAGTTTATTCCCTCATGTAATTGAAAAATTGAGGGCTTAAACTGGCTACGGGTTTGACCTGGGTGCAAACAGGGTTACCTGGTCCTGGCTTCTTGCATTTCATCTCTTGCCTTCATTCCTTTTTGGTTAACTCAATTCTCAGGTTTTCATCTGATGGTAGCAAAATAGCACCAGCAACCTCCACATAACTTTGTAGAGTTGAGAGTCTTTACCTCAAAAGTCTCAGCAAAAGTGCCTGTATCTCATTGGCTTTCATTGGAATGCATGCCATTCCTGAATCAATTACTATGACTAGAAGGATGGTTGACCAAGGTGCATGCCTCTCTCCTCTATCCCCTGACCCCCACAAGCCCAACTACTCACCTTCAATATGGTGAAGTTCTAACACCAGAAGTTTTTGGACTGAGAATTCAGGAGGGATTGTCCTCCAGAAGGAAATAAGTGTAGAGTCACTTTAAGAAAGGCAGTGAAAATCAACAGATTTTTACCCAACACAGAAGAGAGGCCAGCAAATAGTCCAGTTAGGTTAGAATGTAGGATGCTTGAAAGGGACTAAAAGTGGATAGAGATGGAATTACCTGAGATCCGCTTGTGAAGTGTCTTGAATGGGAAACTAAGGGCTTTAGACTTTAACTTGGTGGGTATTGACTTTTACTTGGTGGGTATTAGTAGCTCACTGAAGAATTATGCAAGATGTTAAACCTGATCCAAACCATGTATGCTGAGGTATACGTTAGCAGCATTGCTTTAAGTGTATTGAACAGAAGAAGGGAGGAAGCAAGAAGACAGGACACAGTGGTACAGAAAGACAGCTGTGAATATCTGAACTGAAGTGGGTGCAGGGCATGGAGAGAAGGGATGTAACAGGGTGGTGGTGGTGGTTAGCTGTCATTGAGTTGGATATGACTTGTGGGTACCCCGTGCACAGTGGAATGAAACATGGCCTGGTCCTACACTATCCCTGTGATGTGCTGGGGATTAAACCGTTGTGATCCATGTGGTTTTCACTGGCTGATTTTTGGAATTAGATCACCAGACCTTTTTTCCCAATCTGTCTTATCCAGAAGCTCCACTGAACCCTGGTCAGCATCATAGCAACAGGCAAGCCACCACTGACAGACGGTTGGTGGCTGCACATGAGGAGCATTAGCTGGGAATGAAACTCAGGTCTCCCACATGGAAGATGAGAATTCTACCACTGAACCAAGAGGGTTAAAGAGCTGGAATCAAAAGATGAGGGCTAGAGTTAGATGACGTACAAGATGTCTAGAGATGGCTGCTTTTGATACAATAAGTAATAAAACAGCTGTCCAAATAATTTACATTTGGCTTTCCAATTATGTTTTATTCAGGTTCTTGTTCAAATTAGTTTGAATTTTCCAAGAAGAGTAACTGGAAGGGCAGAGAAGTAGGAGGGAAGGTAGGAGGCTGTGTGTTTCATGGCAGGGAAGTGTGACAGTCTATGTATTGATTGGGCAACACACACAAAAACCAGAACCAGGGATCAACTGTAGGTCAGCTGACACTTCTGTAAGTTGAAAAATGAACATTATGTATTTTTGTCCCCTTTGTAGGACTGGTACGACTCAGGAAAACCGAATGTGTTTTGGCTCTCGGGTTTCTTTTTCACCCAAGCTTTTTTAACCGGAGCTATGCAGAATTTTGCCAGAAAATATACCATCCCTATTGATTTACTAGGATATGAATTTGAGGTACAGTAACTCTTTTCACACAATGGTATATCAGTATGTCAAAGTCAAGATATTTAACCATACAGGATACCCAGAATTGTATATTTTATAGCTCATTATAAACAATGTGACTTCTTTCCATCTTTGTGTTCCATGAAGAATATGAATAATCTTTGCCTTGCTGACCCTGATCGAACTTTTATACATCTCAATATTTAATTCAAATAATTTAATACTAGTCTTCTATTTTAGTAAAAATTAATATGAAGTTTTAATAAAAATGGATGTTTCAAAATGAATTATATTATACATCTTTATATAAATGGTTGAAAAAATTTACAACTTAACAAGCTATATATAGTAGACATTCCTTGAATGTGTTCTGAATACTTACCTACTATCTTCCTTACGGCACTAAGTTATCTTGAGGCAGATACCAAATCAAGCACGAGTATGATGTCTAAATGAGTAAACATTAAAAAATTAATAAATAGGCTCACTGTGAAAGTGGTAACACAGTAGTAGCCAAATGAATATTCTCAGTACATTTTGTTTCTTAAATAACTTAACATACTATTAGAATTGTTCATCCTGACCCTTAAAAGAATTGCACTTGCTTTCCACACTAATTCAAAGAAAGTGAATTCAATTTTTTTTTCTTTTTTTTGCAAAAATTCAAGCTAGGAGTATCCTATTCGTATTGAAAGTGCTTATGGCTTTATATTTCTACAAAGGAACAAAATCTAGATACTGAAAGAACCTGCCATACTCTGATTATTAACTTTATTCCATTTAAAATCTGATCAGACCCCCAAATAGGGAACCCCCTAAATAAGTCCCTTTTCCTATCTGTTGCCTATAGAATGGGGCTGATAATACTTAATGCAGAGGGTGGTTGTGAGGATGAATGGGACAGTACAGATGGAAGGACCTACAACAGTGCCTGGCAATAGGAAGAATCAGAATATGGAGGAAATTTGGTTTAAGACCAGGAAAGACGATTGTCCCATAGAGCTTAGGGCAGGAAATCTAATCTTTAACTTTGGCCATGTGTGTGTGTGTGTGTATGTGTATATGTGTGTGTATCCATCCCTGAGAGAGAACACTGGTGAGGGAAGGGAAGGGATGGAAGGGAAAGGAGTCATTCTAGTGTGTGCTTCTTCCGTCAGGTTATTCCTTTTGACACAGCTGATATAGCACCAGACGATGGTGTTTTTATCCATGGATTATATCTTGATGGAGCACGCTGGGATAGAAAAAGGTCAGTACTTTCAAGTGCAAATACCTCTTCAATTGTAGCTGAATCATAAGTAAAATAAGATTTCTGCTTCCTTTCTTTCTTTTCTTTTCTTTTTTTTAAACCAAGAGGCCTCTAGGGAATAATACAAGTAATAAATTATATCAGAATTCTTATCACAGATCATTATTCAAGGAAGTATAATTGATGAGTGATTATTTTTAGATCCTGAACAATTTCAATGGTTTTATTAGTAGACAAGGTAACTAAAATTATTGTTCTGCTTTTTCCATTTTATAACAGTCACTTTCAGTTTTGTGATGTGTACGAATGTCTCATTTTTAAAACAGTTTAACAGTTATAAGAAAGGAAAATTTCCATTTCTGGTGAGGAATGGAAAACTGGTTATATTTAGATTGTTGTTGTTGTTGTTGTTTGCCATCGGGTCGGCCCCGACTCATAGCGACCCCTCCTTGGGTTTCCGAGGCAGTATCACTACGGAAGTAGGATTGCCCAACCTTCCTTCCGAGGAGTGGCTGGTAGATTAGATAGTAAATATTGAAAATAAATATTCAGTTTCCAACTTCACTCAGGAAACTAGGAAGCTGCTGTTCCTATCTTAAAATATATGTTTATGAGGGTAAGAGAGAAGTATTTTCTTTTGATTGGAGTCCTGCTCTTTGACATAATCCAGTAATGAGCCTCTTTTCCTAGAATCAGAGTTAGATTTTGCTCCCAAGAGAGTTTACTTCTAAAGTGGGAAAAAATGCATAAGGAAAAAATCATGAAAGAGGAAACAATAAGATAGTTATACAGAGAGAACTCCAAGATAATATTATGGGGAGAGTCCATTGCACATAGTTCATTTTGTTATTTCTGTTTCTTTTCTTTTTCATCATTCTCCTGGTATTTCTCTTAATACTTTTCCTTTTATATGTCCTCCTCCCTTCCTCTCTCCTTTCCTCCCTTCTTTATTTCCATCCAACAAACGGATAAACAGCACCGCAAAAAGAAACCCATATTTTGAGGACACCGAATTGTGCACATAAGAGATAGATGACAGATGCTAATACCAACAAGTGTGCTCACAATACTGTATTACCACTAACACCAAACACCAGGCTACATATAAACACATAAATACCTGAGAGGATCAGATGGGGGTCAGTGAACAGGACTATACTCTAGATCAAGGATAGATTCAGCTGAGGCTAATCTTGCACAGACACCAGTGATACAAAATACCTACAATCATTACAGAAACAATAGAAGACAGACACAGAGTAATCCCTCACAGACACCAAGACACTCTGGGAGAGATACACCTGACCTACTGACTCAGGACCATAGTACTGGGGGACACCAGACTCAATTGGCACAACAAAATGCATAAAAGCCTTGTTCCGCATCCTACATTGGTGAGTAGTGACTGGGGTCTTAAAAGGTTTTAGGCGGCCATCTAAAATGCAGCTAAGGGTCTCCTAGCATTGGAAGTGAAGAAGTATGAAAAAAAAAAAAAAAAAGGCATTTGGAAGCAATCAGCCCTAGGACACGATGGCCCCCGAGACCAGAACTAGATGGTGCCTGGCTACCAATGCCAACCACTTAGGAAAGGATCAAATCTGGAGATCCTGGATAGAGTGGGAGGAAAAATGTGGAACGAAATCCAAAAACTCAATAAAGACCAGAATTAACTGGTCAGATGAAGTCTGATGAGACCCCCAATACTATGGCCCTGGAATATATTCTGTGTCTAGAATAAAAGTCAACCCCAGGGGCTGGGGGTCACTGGGTAGGGAGGGGAGGAGACTGGGTTAGGGTTAGAGATGGTAAATGGGAAATGAAACTAAATGTACATGTAACGTTGAATGTAAAACAAGCTCTTAAAATAATAACAATAATAATAAAAGAAACCCCTATTTTGAGACAGGCAGATTTGTGTTTGAATCTTGACTCTGGCACTTAAGAGCTGTGTAATAAGGAGAAAAGTACTCAATCTCTCTGAGCCTCCAATCTTCATCTGTGAAATAGGACTAGGAATGGGGACAGGATCATTATAAGGGTCAAATGTGGTAGTACAGTTTGTACTTCATGACAATACTTTAAAAATGGCCAAAAAAAAAAGTTGCCATTAAATTGACTCCAATTCATGGCAACCCATATGTGTTAGAACTGTGCTCCATAGGATTTTCAGTGACTGACTTTTCAGCAGTAGATCACCAGGCCTTTCTTCTCAGGTACCTCTGGGTAGACTCAAGCTTCCAACCTTTCAGTTAGCTGACCGTGTTACCCTCTTGTACTGCCCAGGCACTGATGATTGTTGACTCTGTGTACTTTACCATTCCATAATTTTCTTTTGTTTCTCTCAATTCTTCATCACCTCTTCCTTAATTTTTTTTTTTTTTTTTAGTTTTCTTCTTTTTCTCTAATCCTGTCTTACATTAAAACTTAGTATCTGAGTAGCTCTGTCTTATGAAGCAAATTTCCTGAGTTATTTCTAATATTTCTATCAATTTGTCTTCACAGTGGATTACTTGCTGAACAATATCCTAAACATCTGTTTGACCTGATGCCCATCATATGGATAAAACCAAGTAAATATACTTCTAACAAAATTTTGTAGTGTTTTAGAGAGAATAATGATACTGTTAACAGCTACCCTAAATAAATCTGTCTCAAACATATTAAGATTTAGTTCAGTTATAATAAGTCATTCCCCAGCCCCCTCTTTTGGACTTCTTACTGTGATTTGGGTGAAAGTTTACAGAGCACATTGGTTTTCCATTCAATAGTTCACAGACATTTTCTTTGCCATTGATTGCAATCCCCAAAATGTAATAGCACTCTTCCCACTTTCTCCCTGTGTTTCCCCTTTCCATTTGTCCTTCTCTGCGCTCCCTTCCTGCCTTCTAAGCTTCTAAGCTTTATCCCTTTTGATCTCGTGCAATTGATTTTTTTAAGGAGTGCGTACTTCCCTGGTGCTACTGTTTACTTTACAGGAGTGTCTATCATTTGGCTGAAAGTTGAGCCATGGGGGTGAATTCAGTTCTAGGACTGAAAGTGTGTGTGAGAGCCATAGGCTCAGGGGTTCCACCAGTCTCTGTGAGACCAGTAAGCTTGGTCTTTTTTTTTTTTTATAATTTTGAATTATGTTCCACATTTCTATCCCACTCTCTCCAGGACCTCCTATTGTGATCCCTTTCAGAATGATCAACAATGGTAGCCAGGCTCCATCTAGTTCTTTTGGTCTCAAAGTCAAGGATGCTGAAGTTTACATGCTCTAGTAGCCCTCTGGGGGAGCTCTGGTAGCATAGTGCCTAAGGCACTTGACTGCTAACCAGAAGGCTGGCGGTTCAAACCCACCAGCCATTCCTCGGAAGGAAGATGGGGCGATCTACTTCCGTAGTGATACTGCCTCAGAAACCCAAGGAGGGGTCGCTATGAGTCGAGTCTGACTTGATGGCACATAACAACAACAACAACAGTAGTCCTTTGGATCATTTGTTTCCTTTCATCTTTGATTTTCTTCACTCCTCTTTGCTCCGGGTGGGGAGAGACCAATAGTTGTATCTTAGATGGCTGCTCAGAAGATTTAAGACCCCAGTTGCTTCTCACCAAAGTTGGATGTATAACCATTGTTTTTGTGGACTATGTTGACCTTGATGTCCCTTGAAATTATGGTCCCCTTTTCAGTGTGCCATTTATTGTTTTGGGGATATCATTCTTTCTCTTTATGCTATTAGGCCATGTGATTGTATCATTTTCTTTCCCCTGCCCTGCACTTCTACAAGGGGTTTCAGAGAGTCCACAGCTGCCCCACCATAGGCTGAACCTAAACTCTCTTTTCACACTTCTCAGAGGTACAAATAAGCTTGACACAGTCTCCAGCTAGCGAATAGCATTTTCTGCTGGCAAGAAACTCCTAGGTTTATTATCAGTCAGCCAGATGCCCCAAAGCATTGATGTTGCAAGCCACATAGGGTAGAGACCAACTTTGCTCCCTGATAGAAGCCACTTGCTCCTTCCCACCTTCTGGCATGACCATTTTTCCACAAGCCTGAAAAAATGGGGCTCATCCTTTTGTTTCCTCTTTCTTCTCTAATTTTTTAATGTAAATTAAAACAAAACACTCAGAGTCACCACCCAACATTATTTCATTATTGTTGTTGTGTTGTTATTTGCCATCGCATCGGCCCCGACTCATAGTGACCCCTCCTTGGGTTTCTGAGGCAATATCACTACAGAAGTAGGAGTGCCCAACCTTCCTTCCGAGGAGTGGCTGGTGGGTTTGAACCACCAGCCTTCTGATTAGCAGTCAAGTGCCTTAGGCACTATGCTACCAGAGCTCCTATTTCATTATTAATGTGGCTCAATTTTAGTTACTTGAAATATGGCCGTAGTTTTAAGACTCAGACGTATCTGGCTTTTCAGGGACTATATATAGATTCTTTTTGTGAGTAGATAAGAACTGGTGGGATTTTCTTCTTGATAGCATGCTGAAAACAAAGGGACATGTCAGCTTCTTGTAATTATGAGTTTCTTGTATTAAAGCACTAAGAAGCTGTGTTTCTCCTGCTGCATCTCCCCTAATTACTTGTGCTCTATTTTATCCCTTCTTCCCTACCTTCTCCTGCTTACTCCTTCTCTCCCAAGTCCTTCTTGGGTATTGTCATGCCTGCCAGGTGGTAGAACTTTAACATCCATTCCTGTCTTGTAGAGTTAGAAACCCAGACCATATAAAATCACTTGCCTTGTTTTACAAGGAAACTTATATGATAGCTATAAAAAAAAAAATATATATGATCTTTAAAATCTTAAAAAATCATGATCATGATCTTAGATTTAATACTGGCCATTTTATTACAAGATAAATAGTTGTTCTTTTAATACCTGTGGCTGTCTTCCTTTTATTAAATGAATATATTTCTCTCTTTTTTCAAGCTAAAAAGTCTAGGATCGAGAAGTCAAATGCCTATGTCTGTCCTCTGTACAAGACAAGTGAGCGTAAAGGAACGCTTTCTACTACAGGACATTCTACTAACTTTGTTATTGCGATGTTGTTAAAAACGGAACAATCTACTCAGCACTGGGTCAAGCGTGGTGTAGCTTTGCTTTGTCAGCTGGATGATTAAATTGGACAGATGTAGAAAACATCTGAAAGAAGAAAAATAATTGTCTTCACTTACTTAAAAATATATATATCATAAAAATCAAGTACCTGTGTCATTCTTTGAAATGGTCTTTGTGAATGATCTATGCATTGTTCTTCTCCCTGATTTACCATGTTGTTGTTCTTGTTGTTATGTGCTGTCGAGTTGGATCCGACTCATAGCGACCCCTCCTTGGGTTTCCGAGGCAGTATCACTATGGAAGTAGATTGCCCCATCTTCCTTCCGCAAAGTGGCTGGTGGGTTTACCATAGTTGATTGGAATACAGCCTTCCAGCTGGGCTCTTCTGAGAGGATCATAGTTAAACACTTGTGGGGGTGGGGAGAGGGTAGGTAATATGATAATTAACTTTTTTTTTAAAGTGTATAGAATCTTTGAAGCTTTTACTTTATTTATACTTTGACATGTATATGAAAAGTAGATCAGGGGACTAAATGACAAAGTTTTTAATATCAGAAATGATCTCTCTTCACAATTGTGATGTCTCTTTTATATGTAATTATTTTGTTCTTGTTGAGAATATACAGAGCAGTAGTTTCTACACGTACAATTCAGTCACATTGATTACATTCTTCAACTTGTGCGACCATTCTCACCCACATTTTTCAGGTTGTTCCTCTCGTTGACATAATTTCACGGCCACGAAGTTTCCTATCTAATCTTTCAAGTGACTGCTGTGATTTTGATTCCATATAGACATACCTGCCATAGGCCAATAGTCTTTACTAGTTAAACATTTGTTTGTTTGTTTCAGTGTAGTTAAACTATTGTTTAGTTTTAAGAAGAGTTCAGGGGATATTTTTGGTTTGAAGTTTAAAGATTATCTCAGGGCATTAGTTTTGAGGGTCATCCCACTTCCTTGGCTTCAGATAATCTGGATTCCATGAGAATTTGAAATTCTGTTCTGTATTTACTCCTTTTGATCAGGATTCTTCTATGGAATCTTTGATCTAAATGTCCAGTAATGGTAGCTAGGCACCATCCAGTTCTGGTCTCATGGCAAAGAAGGCAGTTGCTCAAGGAGGCAGTCAGTCACACATTCCTATCTTCCTCCTATTCCTGACTGTCCTTCTTCCTCTGTTTCTCCAGGTGAATAGAGATCAATTGTTGTGCCTTGTATGGCTGCTTGCAAGCTTTTAAGACCCCAGGCACTGCACAACAGACTAGGAGATAGAAGCACTAAACACATTTTTAGGCCAATTAACAGAATGTTTCATTGAACTATGACAGATTAGATAGGAAACTTTTCTACAAAACAAAATCTTATTTAGCTATTTTGTGTAGTTTTAATTCCCTCTTTTGGATTCCCAGGACACCTGAGGCCACAGCTTCACAACCTAAGGAAAAGATTGGCACATCTATCCTGTGAATCAGGGACACTGGGACAGTCGTTTCTTATAATTCAATCAGAACAAAATGGTTGGTCTCTCTTAAATGGAAAATTGATTTTGGGTTGCCCAGGCTATGTGTGTGAGTCTTAAGAGTATGAATTCACTTTGTATTGCCTACTCTGCAAAAGCATTTTATTGCAGTAATAAAAGGTCTAATTCTTTGAATTTGATGATTATAACAGTGAAGAAAATAAATCATGTTTCCAAACAGAGCTAAACCACATGTTAAAAAAAAAAAAGAAAGCGAATGTGCCAGACTGTCTTATGATCAAGTATTTATAGTAAAGCTATTAATGGAATGGTCACTACAGGGGAGTGGATATCCTAAATACAAATGAAAATTCTGAAGCTTATGTGTGCTAATCCTTCACAGTGAAAACATCGTTGCTGTTCTAAAGGGTACAACAAAAGGTAAAAGCTATTCTACGCTAAAACTAAAATGTTCTTTTGAAACCATTTAGATATTGCCTAACATACATTGGTTGTTGCTACCACTATTCCTGTTATATGTTGTATTATAAGAGTACATTTATTTCTATAACATGTTTATTTTGAGGATTTACTAAATAAAACATTTTCAGCATAGCACTCACTGTGTATTCTTTTGGGTGAGTGCTACAATCATTGAGAAAAACTTGCTAGCAAAGTCTAAAACAATACAATATGAGCAATTTCAATGTTACAATGGTATTGAACTGTTACATAAAAAGTTGTTTTTCCTGAATAAATTTTAATTAAACAGTTGTTCATAGAAACTTCCAATTTATGATGCACATGTGGCACATGAGAAAATGTTTTACATTTATGAAAAATTATTTAAATGAAAGTTTTGTTTTTAAAATTCTGCATTTTATTTATGATCAATTTTGTACTTTTCTGAATTTGATTTTGTAATTTTAAGCAGCTGAAAATCTGTTTTAATGACAAGAAATTATTTTTTCAATCATTCTGACTTTAAAGAAAATCTGTCTGCATTTCACATGGATAATTATACCAGTGATGAAGACATGGACAATGACTTTGATACACAGATCATCATTCAACAGAGCTTGCAGGATATTTACAAGCTGGGAACTACACAGCATGCACCTGAGCATGAGAGGTAATTTTTTTCCAATGGTGATGCAGTGTAAGTATTCAACAGTTGAGACTTGTCATCTGCATGACTCTAGTGTTGTGACAAAAATTGCAAAGGGGGTCAGAATTCAACCTGCTGTCGTTTAAATAAGGAGCCCTGGTGTCATAGTAGTTAAAGCTTTCAGCTGCTAACCAAAAGGTTATCATTTGGAACCCACCTTCCAACCCAGGGGAGAAACATGTGGCAGTCTGTATCCAAATAAGTTACAGCCTTGGAAACCCTATAGGGCAGTTCTAGTCAACTGAATCAACTCAATGGCAATGGGTTTGGGTCACTTAAATATAAAATTTGATGTCTGGCCAGACAGAAAAAAATGGGAAAGAATTCAGAATTTAGGTACATAGTAAAGAGAATAACTGAAGAAGGCTAGCAGCTTATCAGGGAGCCCTCATGATGCAGTGGTTACAGTGCTCAGCTGCTAATGTAAATGTTGGCAGTTTGAACCCAGCAGCCACTCCCTGGGAGAAAGATGTGGCATCTGCTTGTTTACAGATTTTGGTGTGTTTTATTTTTTTTTTGGTAAGTGCCAAATCTGAGTAAGAGGGAGGATACAGGCTAGAAACCCAAAGGATGAAATAAATATATTAAAATATGAAGAGGTAGAAACCATTAACACACTTTGTTTTTAAAAACCAAAAACCAAACACACTCCCATTGAGTCGGATCCAACTCACAGCAACCCCTCCTTGGGTTTCTGAGGTAGTATCACTACAGAAGTAGATTGCCCACCCTTCCTTTCAAGGAGTGGCTGGTGGGTTTGAACCACCAGCCTTCTGGTTAGCAGTCAGATGCCTTAGGCACTACATTACCAGAGCACTTTGTCTTTCGAGAACT